TTTCCCCTTTTCCAGCGGGTGCCTTACCTCCCTTGGGCTGGGCCAGCTGGTGGTCGGCCTGCTCCGTCTCTGCCGCTTGCCAGCTACGCCTCGGCCGGCGCAGGGGGCGGAACCACGCATGCGCAGCGCTCCCGGGCAGGGAAAGTCCTCGACTTACGACCGGTTGGGTAGTCCTCGACTTACGACCGGTTTAGTCCTCAACATACGACCGGTTTAGTCCTCGACTTATGACCGGTTGGGGTTGCGGCATTAAAAAGGTTGAGAACCACTGATTTAACGGGTTCTATCGCTTGCCTGGCAGGAAATGAAATGTCACGAGGGGCCACCCTTACAGTCTTCTGGCACGTCTCATTTAATTTGCCCATTTCTGGGGAAATAACCAGGCAGCTGTTTTGTTCTTGCTGAGATGACATCTGGGCTGAAGAATGGCAAACATGCAGATTTGATAAGATTTCCAAATGCTTCCGTATGGTCCAGGTGGGCAAAAATCCTTTCAGGCATGAAACGAGATTTCCAAAAGCCAACTGTTATTAGTCTAAGCTTCTTCCGTTAGGCAGGTTTTTAATGTGTGGGAAAGCTGCGAGGCTCCTTACGAAAGGGTGCAGAGCTGATAAAGATGGAATTAACTGTAGGGAAGGAGACCTGAACCACCCCCACATTTTCCAATCCTCTGCCTTTATTGCAGGTGCGCTATCTCTTGGAATGGGGAGAGGATGATCTGGAAGACCCCAAGGAAATCAGCAATATGAGGACCCCAGAATTATGTCATCCTTTGTGTCAGTGTTCGAGATGTAGCCCTCTGCAAAAGGTTGGTGGCTGCTCCCGTCCGGGTATGTTCTGACTTGGCTTGTGAGAAGTCTGTGATTAATCACACTTGTCTTCTAAAGATCTTCCGGTGAGCTGCTGGGAAAAAGCGGTTTTCCTCACAAAGTGGGCTGTTGTAAGGATTGGGTGGCTGACCGAGGGAAATTCATTTCACCCCTAAGGAGAGGAGTAGAAGGTTTTCCAAAGAAGGTGGCTTTATAGCCTTGACTCAGCTGCCTCTTCTGCAGCTCGTTTGGGCGTTGTCTAGTCCAGGGCTTTTCAACCTTTTCACCCATTGTACCACTTTTAGGATACGGCAATATTCGAGTACCACCAGTCGCCTAGCAAGGTGTCAAAAACTTGATGACCAAAAAAAAAAAGGAAAAAAGTGATGAAGTACAGGTAGTCCTCGACATACAACAGTTCGCTAAGTGACTTTCCAAGTTACAATGGCACTGAAAAAAGTGCCCCCCCAAGCCACAGCCGAGCAAGATACCTGCCTGCCCACCCAGCGGCACTCTTCCTCCTGTCCGAGGTTTCCATTGTTGTGAGCATTTCTGTTGAGGATTGGCAGCAGAGGTGGGGTGTGTGTGTGTGTGTGGTTTTTATTCCCCCTGTCTGCTGGGTGGTTGCAGCAGGTTTTGGTCACTTCACATGACCCTGGGATACTGTGACCGTCATAAATGTGAATCAGTTGCCATGCATCTGAATGTAAATCACAAGACCCTGGAGATGCTGCAACATTCCAGTTGATCGGCGCTTCTTCTGGGCTCAGCAGAAGCGCCAGGATCAGCGCCGAGCTCCAGCTGGAGCCTGGCGCTGATCCTGGCACTTCCACTGAGCCCTGACAGCCCCAAAGAAACGCCAATCAGCTGGAAAGCGGCACTGATCCCGGCGCTTCCGCTGAGCCCTGACAGCCCTGAAGCTCCAGCCATCTCTCGCTCAGGCTTGTGCGGTGCTGCCACCGGTTCAGCTCATTCCCCTCCCCTGCTACCACTTTTCTAGGATGGTCGCGTACCACCTGCCAGGTGCCAATGTACCATAGGTGGTACCCGTACCACTGGTTGAAAAGCCCTGGTAGTCCTCTGCTTCAGAAAAGTTTTGTACCTGTGCAAGTAAGCTGAGATCTTCCTTTCCCAACAGTCTGGTGTCTTTCTTGTCATCTTACCTCCCCCTCCCATTTTTAATTTGTAAATTTGTAGATCAAGGGCCTCTTACTTTGAGTTTGATTCATTGTTCTCATTATCTGGAAAGTCCTCCTTAGTTCCAGGTCAACCAGTATGATTTCATGCCAGTGCATTGTGCATTAGCCCCACTCACGGTAACACGTAAAAAGTTTGAAATAAAAACGTGGTGCGTTTTGTGATTGTTGTATGTTGGTCTCAGCTGGTTGAGGGAATCGGTCATGCAGAAATGCCGGGCTGATGTCCCGTGTGCTTTTATTTCTCCCACCAGAAGTTCTTCAGGCTGCCTTCAAACGGCCTTGGAGTGAACGTTACCAATCAAACTGGTCTGTCGTCACTGCATGTTGCTGCTCTACATGGGCATGTGGACTTGGTGGCCCTCTTACTAAAACATGGAGCAAACATGGAAGCCAAAGATGTGAACCAAGCAGGACCTCTCCACTTCGCCTGCCAGAATGGCCATTTTCAGGTAAGGCCCCAGATGGGAAGCCTGTGAATGAATACATTGGCCTTCAGATCATGGGTAGAGACAGAATACAACCACTTGTATTCATGCTGATAATAAGTAAAGCTCAGTCCAGTCCACAAATTGATCCTGTTCAAATTAACCTACTTTGGACATATTATATAAAGATCTAGCTCTCTGGAAAAGGCTGTTCCTGGGAAGGATGGAAGGAAAAAGAAGAGATGGAGTAAACTCAGTTTTAGTAGTGATGGAGGCACCATTGGAGGACCCCAAAGACCAGGTTAGGGACAGTTTTTTCATGGAGTACATCTGGAGAACATCTCATTTGTGTGGTCACTAGGAGTCAACATCAACTTGATGGCACATAATCAGAATCAATAATTAAAGCAGATTTCAGACTTTTCCTCCCCCAGAGTGTGTGGAAATGGAAGGTTTTTGTTGTTTTGTGTTGAAACTAAACTAGCTATAATGCCCCTTTTTTTCCAACAGGTAGTGGAATTTCTGATAGAGTGCACTGCTAAGCAAAACAAAAAGGACATTTATGGAAATACCCCCTTAATGTATGCTTGCTTGAAAGGCTATCAGGAGATAGCAGCCATTTTATTACAGGTGAGAGATCTTTATCAAGTGTTGTTGTTTTTTTTAAACCTGTTTTTCTATTTTTTTTTTCGCCTTGGTACTCACGAATCAATTACTCCTTTTTCACGGTCGCAAGGATTGAGATTGAAAATGTTTTGTTTTCATTTTTACCGACGCTTGCTTCACATTTGGAAGTTATAGAAATATGGGGTTTGTTTAGACCAGGGGTAGGCAAACAAGCTGTTTTCTCTTTGTCTTTTTAAGACTGTGTTGAAGAGAAGGAACAAAAATGTATATATCATCTCTTAAATCCGAGGGACGATTGGGGTGGGGTGAAACTCAACTTAGCTGCATGGTAACCCTGCAGAAAAAGATCACTTTCTGCATTTCCAGTTCAAAAGATAAGATAGCACACATAGGGAATGCCTTTTCTTCAGACTTTAATAAAGAACTGCTACAGAAACTTTTTTTTAGGAGATATTCTAAGAAGATGGGAACTTTTTAAAACTATTATTATTAATTATTATTATTATTATTATTATTATTATTATTATTATTATTATAATTTAATTTATATACCGCCCTTCTCCCGCAGGACTCAGGGCGGTGCACAGCGTATTAAAAACAGTACAAATACAAAACATAAAAATACAAACCCCTGTAAAACCAGATTAAAAAACCGAATATTAGAAGCTGTGTTTCTATTTAAAATTATTTTTAAAAATCACCCTAAATAAA